GCACAGGCATTGGCCCCCCACTCCTTTGGTTTCCAATCACATAGCCTGGGACTGCCTTCCCTTTCTTCCGTGGGGACCTGCAGCTCAGAATAAAGTCAAATAATGTCACTTCAGCACTGATGAGTACAGTGTGCTGGCCTAGGGCAGGGGAGGGCCAAGGTCTGGCTCAGGGAGAGCGTCTGGCACACGGTGATGCGGACAGACACTGGTTCTCTACCTTCCTCCTTCCTTTCTCCATCCTGATGGCCCCTGATTTATCCAGCCATGGCCTTAGTGGTTGCTGGGAGCATGATTTTCTCATACTTATTCCCTGCCACTCACAAACCGCCAGGAGTCTGTCTTCACACCCTCCTGATAGGCCACTTATGCTTGGATACCACAGTCAACGTTCTGCAGAGGGCAATCCCATCAAAAGAGGAGTTCACGGTGCTGTCAGCCCTTGAGTCCTTCAGGGAGGTGGTCCCTGGAGGTGAGTGGGATGGTGTGGGGGGCTGGGATTCCAGGACTTGGTATTTCCTAGGAGATTCCTTTCTCTGGGCAATAGTCCAGTCTAGTAGTTAAAAGCACTTTTTTAAACTCAAAGTGAACTCAGTTGGTTCAAATCTTGGCTTTGCCTCTTACTAGCTGTGCAGCTTTGGGCAAACCCCTTTTTGATTCTGTGCATCTATGACTTCTGAAAAATGGGGATAAAAATATTACCTCTCTTTAGGGGGTTTTAGTGAGGATTAAATGAACTGACAGTATGTGGTGTGCTTAGAACAGGGCTTGCTATGCAGGTGGTTACCGTAGTTTATCTATGACTGTTGCCTGGAAGAATGGGCTCCACCTGCAGTCACCTGCTTATGTTAAACACTGTGTGTGCGACACAGTGCTGGGCACTAAGGAACACACATGAGGATAATTCGGGACCCACTATCCATGAGCTTGCTGGTGGACAGGAAGGTGAGGCTGTTTCTGCAGGGAAATGATGCCAGGCCACGTGCACTAAGTTACTGAAACAGGTGCATGATGACACTGGGCAGGAATGGCAGGAGGGATCCCTCAGGGGCTGGGAGGGCTCATGGAAGGGATGGACCAAAGGCAGGTTAAAGAGTTGTCACCATGGCTAGGAGAGGGAGCTCACAGTGAAGAAGAGCCAGGGCCAAGGTCTACAGGCTGAGACCAGAGGGCGGGAGCACAGCTTGGCTGCACAGGGGCATCTGTGTGGGCAGCCACGGGAGGCTGGCAAGGGTGGAGGCTCCAATACCAGCTTGATGAGAGGACCGCTTCAGGGCACTTTTCCATCTGGGCTGGTTGATCTCAGTGCAGTTGGCAGGCAGAGGGGTGGCAGAGACAGACACCATGAAGATGCCACCTGGCCCTGAAGACCGAGACTGTACCTGGAAGTCCTCCCACCTATGTGCCTTATGTCACCTGAAGTAGCAGAGGAGGGGGGAGGAAGCTGACCTTCGGCTGCATGCCTGTGTTTTCTCTAGCACCCCAGGCAGAAAGGCTGAAGAGGGAGGTGCTGGACTTGGTCATCTCAGTGACACAGAAGGATCGAAGACCAGTGAGCTGAAGGGCTGCGTGTTTGTGCTGGGAGGGCCACTGCCTCTGAGACCTTGTGGTCTTGTTCACGGAGGGGGGGCAGTGAAGGAGGAGGAAGGGAG